GGATGGATGGATGGATGTTACACCGTGCCACCCTCCACCACATCCTGGCACAGCTCAACACCTGACCCTGACCCTGACCCCTCTCAGCACAGAGGTTCCTGCTGGATGCTGCTTTTTAGGCTGATGGTAAGAGAAACAAATCTTATGGGAAATTACAACATGATGGATACATGGACTTGGCAAAACAGCATGAATTAGGAAATACGTGGCCTGGGCAATGGACTTGGTGCTATTTATGTTCTAAAATGGTTCAGCCAGTGTGCTTTGTGGTTGACTATCCYATACCTGGGATTAGATTTTATAACATCTAAAGAGAAAGCCTATTACCTAGTGGCAATACTACTTGTCAGCCCCAAATTTTTCCCTAAAACCAAATTTTAAACATGTGGCTACATTTCACTCAGTAGGGGCAAAAAACGTAATACTAAAATATAAGTGGCAGGTGTGTGCTTAGGGCTGGGGTTCTTTACTTGCTTTTATTTTAGATTATTTCTCCTCTGCTCTGCTCTGTTCCACTCWGTTCCTCATGTGCAGCCGACACTGAGGTGGCTCAATTCCCTGCCTCCACACTTTTCCAGTTCTGGATTGCCCCAGTTTCTTTTTCCAGCAGACTGGAATGAGAGACAAGCCTGAATAGCAGCTAAATAAATCATTTGGGGCCTGTCTTTAAATTGTTCTCAAAGGAAAGAAACAAAAGTGAAATGAATGTCACAAATGACAGACCTACCTCGGTAGCCCTGTTGCAATGCARAAAAGGTCCATAATATCTTTGGAGTTGCAGTATTTACTAAAGATCACCTTCCAAAGGGAATAGCAGCAGAGCGGGGGGGTAAAAAAAGAAGAAAAAGAGAAAGGATGGTTAGTTCCCAGTGAGATATAAACCCTGTTCAGGCGTGCACTGGGCTAATTTTAAGACACATTGTGTGATTTCAATAATCTGATTTGATTTGCAAGCTGGAATATTTCTCTGCTCCTGTTTAATACTTGTGCCTTTGTCGATAAAGAGAGCAAGCTCTGGAGACCGAAGTGCTGTTCAAAAGTGGAGCAATAACRTGTGTGAGCTGAGACCACAGGGGTTCTCATAATGCAGGATGATAGCAACTGCAAATTTAGGGATGGAAGAACCCAAATTTAGGAAGAAAATTGCTCAGATTTGGGGAAGTCCTTGGGTAGTCTAAAAGGGCACTGATTTTTGGAATATACACTAGCTCTAAAGTGAGGTGAGGGTTCTTCCCCCCACATCTTGTGCCAAAATTCCTACAGACTGTAGGGAGGCCAGACCTGGGATTACAAAATTTGCCACTCTTACTGTCCCATCTCCCCAAACACCTCTTCATCTCCCCACCCTCCCACACACACCAGGCAGCCCCCAATGCAGAGAAGACTGAGCAGAACGTAGGAGCTTCCCCTGATCCCATCGTGGACACAATCCCATGCCACAGTTTTTCCCAAGACTCCTGTGTCCATCAGGACTTGTAGGTGATGGCACTCCCTATTTGGAAATCTCTTCTGCAGCTGGGGTTTAGGAAGCACTTTAATAATACCATTACAGTACTTTTCATCAGTCTCACTGCATCCCTGTGCAATATTTCAACTCTGCAATGTGACGCTTGTTTGTGTTAAATTACTTGCCCAGTATTTTATCATGGGTGAGTGGCATGCCAGAACAGAATCCATGAGTCTTAATTTGGTGTCTTGTTGGATTCTGAGACAGAACACTGCCTCTGAGGAAAAAACACTCAAGAATTTAACAGCACTCTGAATAAGAAGTCTCACATTTCAAKAAATGAGTGTTTATAGGATATTTTCTCATGACTGAGGTCCCTAAGGTTTCTTCCAGCCCAAACSCATGTCTCCTCTGTGGGGCACATTGAACTACCAAATTTTCCAGTACTCTAAATCAAAAGTCTTGTTCCTAGTGGATATATTGGGGAAAAAAATAGCCATTGACAGGKATCTCTGTTGCCAGAGGAAAAGGAAAATGTAGACATGAGAATATAGGAGTTTGAATGCTTCTGCCATTGTTGTGATCCTTTCCTCAGGATAACTCTGTGCCTTTGAGTGACCATGGTGAAGGCTTTTCCCCTGCCATGGAAATGATGTGCCTCACTGCAGGCAGGTCTGGCTCTCTTTCTCAAAGGCAGGAATAGCAAAAAGCAGAGGGGATGGTTTGTCCAGAGGCTGCTGGTGTTGATGGGATRGCTGCAGGGTTTGCAGTGGGGCAGCAGGGGTGTGGAGAGGGGCAGTTCCCTGCCCAGCACTGGAGCCCTCTCTTCTCACACCCCACAAAAAAGGGCCACAGAACTGCCGGGTTCAGGATGGAGCAGCTCAAAGGCATTTGTGGAGACCAAATAGAAAACTCAAGAGCAGCAAGGAAGTGGTATGTCACAGATGAGATCTGAAGCACAAGGAGATCAAGATCAAAAGTCTCTTCTCCTTGCTGGAAATGCAATTTTCCACCCCTCACAACCACCTGCAGGACCCCATATTCTCAGGCACAGTTTCTGCTGTCACCCATCACAGGCACGAGGGGTGTGCATGTCCACAGATCAGCCTCSAGGCTGGTGACCCAGGAAATAAGGAATTTGTCACCCAGGATGACTGCAGGGAGGAGGCAGGGGGGCTGCAGCCACCCTCCCCAGACTGAGCAGGCTCTGTGTGTTCGGTGAGGTGAGAACCACGCTGGAAAAATAGCACTGTCACCATCTAATTAAAGACTCCTCTGAAAGGTGTGGGTGCCAGGAGGTAATTAGGCCTGCAGCCTCGCTTTGTCAGCCTTGACTTTGAAGTGCTTTCATTCCTAAATTGTCGCAGTGTTGGTGTRACACGGGTCTCCTGTGCCTCCTCCAAGGTGCCCTTCAGGCTCCAGGGGAAATCCCTCACCGGGAGRCCTCGCACAGGGCCAACCACACCTCTGCCACTGGAAAAGGGGAAGCCATGGTGTAACAATTTGAGAACAGAGCGCRGACTCACTTCTTGCTGGTTCAAAGAAAATCCTTTATTTATTTATTTATTTATTTTTCAAAAAGGTGTCATTTTATATTCTAAACTTTCGCGGGCTGAGCGCGGATTGGCTGTCTGCTCATGCGGTGCTGCCGCCCACGCACCTTCTCATCCAATCACGTCTCAGATCAGGCGGTGTCCACGCGCCCCGTTAGCCAATCAGAGCTCCACGCATGGGGCTGTCGCGTGTCAATCATGGCAGCTGTGCCCACACGAGCGGCTCAATCCTTTCCACATTGCGGGCTGGTGGCAAAAGGGAGCAGGGGTAGGTGGGATCTAACACAGGTGAGSGAGCTCATTCTATAGGCTTTTCCTTAACCCCAACACCGTGTGAGATCCCAGGGGATGCTGTGCTGCTGATGTCTGCTCAGAGGTTGGGACAGTCTGGACAACACAGCAAGGTCTGGCCGGGCTGGTTGGGCCTGGTGGTGCACCGACACTTCAGCAAAGCTCCCGCCGTCAGTTTGCATGGGTGGTGAGGAGCCCTCACTTCTGAGTGARTATCAGGGGGTTTGTGGCCGAGAAGAGGACGAGAGTGGTCACTTGGAGAGGTGGCCGTGATCCACAAGCACACTCACATCCACCTTCCCTGTGCTCTGCCCCAGATATGATCACTTCAGGCAGCATCTTCATAAAACATGCAGGTACTTGATTGCTGAGGTGGGCAGTAGCTGCTGCTGGGGAAATGGGTGTGTTTGAAAAGTCTCTTGTCCAGTGATTGAACCTTGGTTATTAAAGCACACAGGCAATCAAAGCAATAAAACATAGCCAATGGAGTTCAGAGAGGACTGAARTCCTGCTCCCAGCAGAACACAGCATCCTGACAGACTGACTGSTAAAATTGACTGACAGTATATTGGAGAGTACAACAACTGCTCCATGCAGTAGCTGAGCAGATGATGTTAATTGTGGCTGAATAGAGGGTAGAAGGCTTGTGGTGTGCCAGGAGTGCTATTTCACGTATTTCTTATTCTGGAAATCTATTATTATTGACCAGGACAGACAAGAGAGGAAAAGATAAAAAAACATTAACAAACATTAAAGGCAAGAAAGTTGGCCTGACTCATAGAAAGCAGTAAGTGCTTTCAACRCATTGAGGATGAATTTTGATGGTTCCTTTTACTCCATGAAATAGTGAAAAGAGTGGGAAGCAAAACAAAGGCTGTGATACTAAATCATGAGCTGTCTCTATACACGCTTTTTAGTTTTCCATACTTGGCATTTTTACTTAGGTTTGCTAAAACTGGATTTGTGAATCACCCACTGCAGTTTCATACTCATCTCAGGATGCTTGTCCTCAGCTGGTTGGATTTTTTTCTTTTTTTTTTTAATCAGAAGGCACATGCTATTAAAGTTTTCTTCTATTGCAGCGTGCTGAGCTTTTCTGAGCATCTCCCTTCTGCTCTGAAACACAGCAGCCAGCCTCAGATGTTCTGCAGCAACGTGCAATTGTTCCTGTTATTGTCCACAGGTTCGTGCTCCCAGCAAGGTCGATGCCAGTTGTGCTGATGGAATATGATTGGAACGTGTTTCAGAGGGATGGGAGGACAGCACAGAGCACTATTGATGGCTCCAGCACAGTATAGGAATCCTATTTGCCTGGAGTGCATTATCACTGGGGGGACATGAGCAGCAGGAAGGCAATGTGGGGACACTTGGCTCCTGGCCACACTTCAGCCATGTGGGACACGTGGGCTCTCCCGTGAGCTGCAGAGGTTGGGCAGCAGCTCTGAGGACAGGCAGCCCTGTTGGCACTGGTTGCAGGAGGGAACATCTCACCCAGTCCTGCTTGGGCAGGTGTCCCAAAGCCTTTGCTGCCCAGCCCGGATCTCCATGCCCATACGTTTCTGGTGCTTTTTGGGATCTTATCCACAAACTGAATCTCCCTTCAGTTCTGTCTCAGCCATCTCTTACCCACAGTCACATTGTTTAGGTCCCTGTGGGTGACAAGYCCCTGCTGAGATGTGTCTCACAGCTCTTCATTTCCTGCATTAATGCCTGCTGCTGGAAGATATCCCTGCTTCGAACAGGACTGAGACCTTGCATAACAGAGGCCAAAATCAGGAGAACACAGAGTTTGTACAGCTGGGATAGCGGGCTAAGATCATGCATGTGTAGGGTTTCCTATAATGAAAATCAGATTTCCTCATAATGCACATCAAAAAAGTGCATAGTCAGGCAGGTCAGCCCAAAAAAATCCAGGGATGAACCTCCWGGGATGAAAAAAGAGAGGATACAGAGACTCAGATATTGCCTGGTGGCATGAAARTCTCCTGCAAGACCGGCCAACACAGGACACTCAGTTGCCAGTGTCATTTGTGAAAGCAAAGGCAGAGCTGAAACCAYGTCTGAACAGTAACAGCAGTGACAAATCACGTGGGAAAGGGAAACAGAGGCCTCTGCTTCAGCTTGCAGATTGATGACTAATTGCCATGAAGAAAATCAGCCACAAATAAACCCTGTTAACCRCATTTCCCTTGGATTAGTGCCAGGAGGAAAAGGCTGTATTCCTGAAAAGTGATGCAGCATCTGCAAACAGGTTTGTTTTTTTCCCCTGAGAGTTAACATGATTTCATATTTCTGTCCTTCCTGTTATCAAAACCTCTGAGTTGGTGGATGGCCCATCCCTGGGAACATTCAAGGCCAGGTTGAATGTGTCTCTGAGGAATCTCATCTATTTGAAAACAGAAATTTGCAGGAGGTTGAACTAGACCATTAAGGGTCCCTTCCAAGCCAATTCTATGATTCTACCACGTGTAGGGGAAAAAAAAAAGACAGGAAAAGCAGCCTTCTCT